TTCCCCCTCTGATCCTCCTGTGTCATTTTAAGTGATCCCCATCCCCCACCCCTGTGCCACTGAACACCTTCACCAGACATCCTCCCTACCCCTTTATCAGACATTTACCCCCTGGGGCCTGCCTGGGGGACTGTCACTTGGGCTTGCTGGGGCCTGGACCTGGGCTGCAGCAGTGTCTGCCACTGACTAAGAACCTTCAGTCATCATGAGGGCGGCCGCGAGCATCAGGTAGTGTCACCAGAGACAGACCAGCACTCAACACCTTCACCGTGTCCCGGCTGCTCTAATCCTGTTCTACAAGCATCTGCGAAAGTCTCTTTTCCCACCCTGCGCTCACCGCTTACTGCGACCTCCGCTCCGCTTCCACACAGCAGTGATGTCAGGACTCCGCCTAATGTCACTGGTTGCTAGACGCCAGTCAGGGTGGCCCTAGCGATCAGTTTACAGTAAATTAATTTTCATTCTGAGACAGCCTGGGGGCGCCTTATTTTGCGGGGATGCCTTATATTTCACTCAGAAGGAAACCTGTAAGTAGGTCTTATTTTCGGAGGATGTTTTATTTTCGGGGAAACACGGTAAAATACCAGCCATTATTGATTTATAAGACATTTGTAAGCTCTTCTTCTCTTCTTCCTATGTTTGACTTTGCTGATGGATCTACCTCTTCTTGTGCCCCAGAGAATTCTCTCAGGCTGTATGAGCAAACATGCCATAAATTATTGGAGACTCCATAAGGAAGGATATGTCGGGGGTATTTCACTACCTCTAGGACATTCACACAGCTGGCTTGCACCTGAATGACCAACCATTGTTCAAATACTGAACTACTTCTAAACTGCTTAGTAAACAACTACTGTCCTGAACCTCACCTTCCCTTGCCCTGTCTTAGCCCTGGAAGTGCCTGGCCCTCTCCTAGACACTGCCATGACCCAGCAAATAAAAGGCCAATGCTTGGTGCAAGTAAGGCCTTTGAGTACCCTGCTCCAGTTGGTGGCTGTTCTGATTAATTTGTGACTCTGCAGTCAGTCTGTCCCTAAATAATATTACTAGCATGGGACATTATTTTCCATTTCTCTCTTTGCCTTATATGGTGGGCCCCGTGTGCTGTGTTGTGGGACTATTGATCATGGACATGGTTACATACACTTGTATCAGCCAACGCTGTATGTAGACAACAGTAGTACAAAATGTGAAAGAGGAGTTAGAAGTATATTGTTGTAAGGTTCTCACACTATACATAAATAGTGTATTATTTGAAGATAGACTATGCTAATTAAGAGTGTATATTATTGCCCTCGCCAATTTGGCTCAGTGGAGAGAGCATCGGCCTGTGGACTAAAGGGTCCCGGGTACAATTCAGGTAAAGGGCACGTGCCTGGGTTGCTGGCTCGATTCTTGGTGGGGGCGTGCAGGAGGCAGCCCATCAATGAGTCTCTTCTCATTGATGTATCTATCTCTTTCTTCCTCCCTTTTCCTTTCTGAAATCAATAAAAAAAAATTTTTTTTAAAAAGTGTATATTATAAACCCTAGAGAAGCTACTAAATAAGTAAAAAAATGTTTAGTTAATAAGCCACAGTAGAGAGGATATGGAATAATGAACAGTCTAAAAAAATAGGAAAGAAGGAAAAAGGGAAAAGAACAAATAAGACAAATAGAAAACAAATATCATGAAGGTAGATTTAGTCCAGCATGTTGAACATATTATACATTAATGTAAACGTTTAAACATTTGAATCAAAAGGCAGAGATTGTTAAAGTGGATGAAAAAGCAAGACCTAACTATATGTTGTCTATAAGAAATGCACTTTAAATATGAGGATA